ATCAATAAGACCTGGAAAAAGATTTTCATAATCAGTTGGATTTGCTAATGCTTGTGCAGAACGTTCCATATTCATTTGTTTTAATTTTTCTCTCCATAAACCAACAATACGACCAATTTGTGATGGTAAATATGTTCGAGCAAAAAAAGCTGCTTCAGGTAAACGTTGATTTTCAATAAGTATATCTAAACATTGATCTAATTTTCCCAAAACAAAATTTGATAGAAAAGCTATATTAAATTGGCCATTTTTTCTTGAATGTTCACCAATTGTTGACATTAATTCTTTATTACTTGATGCACTTGCTAATAATATAAGTGAACCAAATGCTTGTGCACGTGTTAAACATTCTTGTACTAAATTAAAATCTCCAGATTTTGTTGCTAATTCAGATAATTGTAACCATTTTTGTTCATTTTCCATTTCAAGTGCAAGTTCATAACAAACAGATAAATTTCCTAATTGAAGTGCTAAATCAAATTTATGTTCATTATCCATTGTAACAGCTAATGCTTGTTGACGAAAACCCTAATAAGAAAGATGAAAACAAAAAAAAAATAAAGATTTCGTTTTTGTTGAAAAGAAATTTAAAACAAACTTGTTTTTCAAGAAAATGTGCAACACGTGTTCGTTGTTCTTTTGCTATTGTTGGAAGAACTTGATCTGCTGTTTCAAAATCTTTACGCATAACAGCTGTTTGATATTCAAGTACAGCTAAGGATAATTCAAATGAAACAATAGACATTTCTTTATCACCCAAATATAGACGATTTTCATTCGAAACATAACCTAATAAATACATTACTCTAAAATAGATTAATTTAAATTAATTGATATAAAAGAAAATTTTTTGTTTTTTTTTTGTATATTACCTATCTAAATGTGATATTGTTACAATTTCACCACCAACATAATAATTTATACGATTAAGAGAATTTGTATAAATAAAACAATCACCAACCCATACACCTGTTCTTACAATTTCAGGAATTTCACTAATTGCCTATTGAATAAACAAAAACAAAACATGAATTTTTTTGTCATGGTTCAATAGAGCTCTCGTCGAGTTACGTATGAAAATTAGATTTAAAAAAAAAATTAGAAAAGACTATAAAAATTGAAATACATCAAAAGCATAAAGTCTCAGTAGTGTCAATATCTATCCTAGAGAGAATCGATTTTTTCGATATGCTAGCAAAACATCATAAATATGACTTTGTATTCTAAGAACCTGACCATCAGAACTTCAGTTCCAAATGAAAAAAATATCGTATTCAGAAAAGAATCGAAAATTATTATTATTTTTGGAGTTTTGAATATACGGTTCAACGCAGATTTTTGCGCTTCTTTAAAAATTGAACTTTTGATGGTTGAAATCTTTGAACATGAACCCATATTTATGATGTTTCGCTAGCGTATCGAAAATAATTGATTTTCTCTAGAATAAATATTGAAGCTACTCATACTTGATACTTTTAGCATAATTTCAATTTTTATAGTCATTTCTAATTTTCCTAGGTAACTCGACACCCTCTCTCCAATCATCGCAAGAGACCACCAAAAAGAAACAATGTGCGCTCAAAATTTTAATTGCCGACATCTTATAAAATATTCTCTTTCCAGATCATTTTAGAAACAAATTGATCATGAAAAATGACCAATCCAACGAAAATCAATTTTCAACACAATTATATAAAAATCAACAAAAAACAAAAAAATTTTTTTTTGTCTAAAAATTATAGAAAATCTAATTATAAAAACTTACATCAAATGCATCTTCAATTCCATCTTCGGATATAAGGTCTTTATTTGTCGTAGCAGCTGTAACAGCTTGAGGATTATAACGAAGAACATAATATGATTCTTCTGTTGCAATACAAACTAATTCACCATTTTGACTCCAATAAATCTGTAAAAGAAAAACATAAAGAAATAAATCATTAACTCGATCAAAATATCAAATTAGAAAAATAAAAACAAACATACAGTTTTTGGTACAATTTCAATACGTCGAACTAAGTTTAATGTATCCCAATCATAAAATGTTAAACCAGAATAAGATCGAACACCTAAAAGTGATCCACCAAAAATATTTTCAGCACCAGATTCAGGTTTAAATGTTTTTTTTTCTTTAAAATTTTTAAATATTTTAACCATATTTCCATCACGTACAGCATATTCCGATGAATCTTGTGACCAAACAAATTCCATTGCATTACCATAACTTTTATTACGTAATGTTATTGCTGTATAAATTATATATTCACCATCACCACAAACAACAACAAATCTAAAATATTAAAAAAAACCCGATTTGTTTTTGTTTTTTTTTTTCTTTAAATCATATTACCGTCCATTTGGTGAATGTGATAATGTTTGTGGATATATTTCACAACTACCCATTTCTTTAATATTTAATGGAACTTTTTCACCATCTTTTAATTGTTGATCACTAGTTAATTGTTTTAAATTAACTTGTTGAATTTCACAATGTTTTGCCCAAACTATTTTACCAGTTGATGCATCCATTGACATAGCTGGTTCTTCTCGACCCAACTAGAAAAAACAAAATATAATCAAATTTAGTTTCATTTATATCGATTTTACTTTAATCATCATTGTTCCTTCATCATAACCAAGTGCAACATTATTTGATCCTTTTAAACATGCTATAGTCCAACATCGTTCCAGACCATAATTAAGTGTTGATTCAAGACGATATGTATTTGAATGCCATAATTTAACAGTACCATCTTCTGAACCACTTAATATAATAGGTAATTCAGGATGAAACGCAACACAACCAACATTTTGTGAATGTCCTTCCAATGTTTGTACACATGTTTTGTTCTATAGAACAAAAAAAAAACAAACAATTGTTTCTTTTTTCTTCTTGAAAAAAAAACTAAGAATTACTTGATAATCCCAAATTTTAACAAGACGATCATCACCACCTGATACAAGATAAGGTTTATCACCACCTGAATAATAATCAACACAATTAACACCTTTATCATGACCTTCAAGAGTAAAATTTGCTTGAGTAGATCCTAATTGCCATACCTATAATCAAAAAAAAAAAGCAAAGTAAATAAAATTTTAATAAAACTATTAGCGCAATTCTTGTGGAATTCAAATGTGAAATATGATGTCGCTGCTGTTGCTAATCATACCGAAATTACTGCATTCTTTCTATTTTTTGAACATATTTCTCTCTATCATTCTTTTACTTAATCCTCGAGAAATGTAATATGAAAGCAGTTCATATATTATAACGAGACGTTATTGATATATGAGCTGTGATCGTATATCGACATCTGTAGGAATTGATTCAAACTTTTACTTCGTATACTTCAACATTCCTTTTAGTTCGTATTCCACATCATTCTTACCTTGACAGTACGATCAAGTGAAGCTGATGCAAATGTATTATTATCTTTTGGATTAATAGCTATTTGCATAACATAATGAATATGTCCTTCAAAAGTTTGTTTTAATGCCCATTTAGCATCCCAATCCCATAATTTAATTGTCATATCATCTAGAAAAGAAAAAAATTTTTTTGAAAAAAAGAAAAACATTATTAATTCAAAACAAAAACTTACCACTACTAGTAAGAATATATGGTTGTGTTGGATGAACAGCAACTGAACGAATATAATCACTATGTGCTTCAAATTGATGTAGCCGTTCAAGTGTATTATAATTATAAACACGTATAAGCATATCATCCTTGAAAAGAA